GTTTAATAATATATTTAATTAAAAATCGATTATAAAATACTATCTAATATTAACGATTTTATTATTAAAAAAAAAGCCGATTTAAATAAACAACTAAAATAATAAAAATCTATAAGCTTTTAAAAAGAACTAAATTAATTCACTAAGGACCTAAAGGACTACCTATATAACCGATATATTCTAAATATATAATTTAATATTAAAATATTTAAAAACTATAAATTATTTTTTAAAAAGAGAGAACTTATTAATAAAGAAATAAACGATATTTACGATATTATTAACGTATTATAATTATTTATTAAAAGATAAAAGCGTCCTAATTTAATAATTAATTACGAACGGCTTATAAAAAAAAAACGGGTATTAACCTTCAAAATATTAAAAAACTAAATATATTAATTATAAAAGAATAACGAAAGGCGGCTAAAATAAATAAGTTTTTATATTTTATAATACTTTTTAATAAAGAATATTTATAATTTAATTTTTAAATAAATAGATACGATATAAACGCTATTATTAATAATAGTACTTAAGGAATTTTTATTTTATTAAAAACGATAAATAAATATAAATTATTATAAGTATAGAAAATAAACCCGTATACTTTATAAACAATAAAAAAAGAATAAGTTAATTATAACGATAAATATATTAACTAAAAGACTATATACCTCACAATATATATTAATAATTAACTAAAATAATTAAAATACGATATTATAAAGATTAAAAATACTAACGTTATTTTAAGAATTTCATAGTTACGAAAATATAATTTATAAATAAATTAGAAAACCGGCCAACTTTATTAAATAGACTTAGTTATTAAACGATTTAAAAAACAGGGTTTAAACGAATCTTATATAATACTTAATAAATAAAAATAAATTAAATATATCGCTTTTATTAAAACGATAAAACTTATTAAAATATTTATATTTAATACGGACAATTAAGGATCGGACTTATTTTAAACTATATTTAAAAAATATTAAATTTATATAAAACTATTCGTTTTAAAAAAAGAAATAGGACTATTAAAATATAATAATTAGGATATAAAAATCGAATTAAAAAAAAGAATATAATTTAAGTTTTTTTTATTATACTTTATAAATTAATTTAAACGCAATAAATTCAATAAGTATATCGACAATAAATTTAAAAAAGGTTATATTAAACTATTATCCTTTTTAATAAAAATATTAATCTTTTTTATATTTAAAAAAGTAAAAAAAAGCTTAAACTTATAATTAATTATAAAGGATTTAATAAAATTATTAAAAAAAATTACTACTTATTACTCTTTATTACAAAACTTAAGGAAATATTATACGGAGTTTAATAATTTATTATAATAAACCTTAAAAGAGTATTTAATTAAATTAAAATTAAAAAAAAAAACGAATAGAAAACGGTATTCCGAACTTATAAAGGATTTTATAAATATTTAATTATACTTTTCGGACTTATTAACATACCCGCTATATTTTAAATAATAATTAATTACGTATTTAAAAAGTATATTAATATTTTTATAATCGTTTATCTTAATAATATCCTTATTTTTTTTTTTAATTTCGAAATATATAAAAAATACGTTTATATAATATTTTAAAAACTTTAAAACGTAAAGTTTTTCATTAAGCCTAATAAATACGAATTTTATATATAAAAAATAGATTTCCTTAACTATATAATTATATTAAAATAAATTTATATATAGGTATTTAAAATAATAATAATTAAAAACTAGCCTATATTTATTAATATTAAAAACGTATAATTATTTTTAAAATTTATTAACTTTTATTAATAATTCCTTAAAAACTACGCTAATATTATTAAACTTTTTAATAACTTAATAAAAAAAAACATAACTTTTATTTAAGATAAAAAATATAAAAAAGTTTTTAATAAAATTAAAAATTTAATTACTTTAGAATTAATAATTATAATTCCGGATTTAAAAAAACCGTTTAAAATTAAAACCGACGCCTCGAACTTCGCTATAAAAGCTATTTTAAAATAATAAAATTAATAAAGAGTACTTTATTTTTATATATTCTATTTTAAAACGTTCTATAAAATAGAATTAAATTAATAAATTTATAATAAAAAATTAATAATTATAATTAAAACTTTTAAAAAATAAAAATTATAACTTTTAAATACTAAATACGAAGTTACTATTTATATAGATTATAAAAACCTTATTAACTTTATAATAAATAAAAATCTAAATAAATAATAAATTAAATAAAATAAATTCTTATCCGAATTTAATTTCTAAATTACTTACTAAAAAGGTTTAAAAAATAGTAAAATAAACGCTTTTAATAAATAACTTAATTACGAAGTTATAGTCCTTAAAGAAATATAAATAATCCTTAAATATAACGATAATAGTAATCTTATACCTATTATAAAACTCTTTATAATAGCTAAAAGAGTTAATACTAGCCCGTTTAAAAAAATAACTCCTAAACTTATTATAAAAGTTTATAATATTTAAATATATAGTTATTAAAGTATTATAAAAATATAAAAACGGATTCGTTAATATTATAATAAAACCACTATAAAAGCAAAAGTTATTAAAACTATTAAGGACTACGATATTTATAAGAAAAGTAAAAACAGCCTTTATAAACCTTATAAAGAACTATAATTACTACTAATGCCCCTAGAGGTATAGTACTTAACTTTTTAAGACTTTATTATTAAATTATTAAAATCTAAAGAGCTATTAATAAATATATAATACGATAGTATTTTAGTTATCGTCGACTAACTTAATGGTTTATTTATTTTATATTATATAAAAAAATAAGTAATATTAAAGAATTAATATATACCTTTTTTAAAATAGTTATTACTAACTATAGTTTACCTAAAAAAAATAATATCTAATAAAAATAAGTTATTTATTATTAAGTTTTAAAAATTTTTAATTTCGTAGCTCGGTATAAATTATAAACTATCGACCTTTTTTTATTTATAAACCGATAAATAAACGGAAAAGATTAACTAAATTCTTAAAATATACCTCCGCTATTATATAAATTACGACTAAAATAATTAAATAGTACTATTATTAATAGCTTAATTTATATATAATAGCGTAGTTAACGAAAATATAAAAAAATCCCTTTTTTATTTTAATTATAAATTCTAATTAACTATATATAAAAAAGTACGCAAAGGACTATAGGCTATAAAAGCCGTAATAAACGTAAATAAACTTAAAAAGATTTAAAAAAAAGCCTTTTTAGACCTTAAGTTTATATAATAGTGTATAAAAAAATATATCGATAGATTAAAAATTAATAAATTAATTTTAAAAAAAAGAGATAACGTATATCTCCTTCGCTATAATATTAAAATAAAACGACTAAATAATAAATTAAATTATAAAAAACTTAGACCTTTTAAAATTATTAAAAAAGTTTCATTAATTAATTTTAAATTAAAATTCTTAAATACAATATAATATTACCCGGTTTTTTATATTTTATTTTTAAAACCGATATTTAAAAACTTATATACTAAAGATCGTATTATTATCAAATTTAATAAACTAAAATACGAAGTCGAACGAGTTATCAATTACCGAACTAAAAAAGGACGTAAAAAGTATTTTATTAAATAAAAAGATTATAAATATAAAGATAATATATAAGAACTTATTATGAACTTTTAAAACTCTTAATAGCTTCTTAAGGAATACTAAAATTAAACTTAAACTTAAAATTCCTAACTATTATAATATCTTAATCGATAACACTAAAAATATTATTAACTTACGCCTCCCGGGCTACTAAAGAAATACTCTTAGTATTTTTAAAAAATTCTTTTAATATAATACAACTTTTTTTAAATACTATTTGCTTTTAAAAACGAAAATATTTTAATTTAAATAACGACTTATTTAATTTAATTTAAGTTTTTTAATAGGCCTTAGCTTTTTTTTATAATTTTATAACTCTTTTTTAAAACCGTGACTTTTTTACTTATTTTTTATAATTAAAACGATCGGACTTTATTATTAAACGATTTATTATATTTATTAATCGAGACCTGTAAGAAATAATCCTTAGGAAACTTATAAATATAAATAATATTAATAAAAGTATTGTATAAAATACCTAAATAATAATATATTCCGTAAATATTAAAATTAAAAAAAACTAAATAACGAACGCTTTAAAAACGATAATTTAAATATAATATTATTTTTATATTTTTATTAAAAAAGCGAATAATACGTAATAAATAATAACGAGATATAGCTATTTACGATTTTAATTTTTTAATTCGGTTTAATATAGCGTTAGCGTATTTTAATAAAAATATTTAATAATTCCTTAATTTAAAAATAAATAACTTATTTATAAACTTAAGGACTAGACTTTTAAAAAGAGGAGTTAATATTACGATTTAATATATATTATTAAATTAAGGCCCTGCCCTATAAGACCTATAACGGCTATTATATTATATATATAATAATAACGGCTCTTTTTAAAATAAAAAAACTATAAATAAGTTATATAACTACGATCGTACGATAAAATAAAAAACGGACGCCTATAAATAAATAAAACGAGCGATTAAAAAAATATAGGATAGACGACCGTTTAATAAACTATTAAATAATAAATAAATAAAATATTATAAAAGATATATTTACGATTAGGACTTATATATAGGATAGCCCGAGCTAGGCTCGAGGATAGATTTTTATAACTTTTTTAATAATTAATTTTTATATTAAATTTAATAATTATTTTTAATTAACTTTATTAAGAACTTATTTAATAAGATTATAATTAATTACCGAAGCCTTACTTATTTTATAATTTATAAATAATAGTTTTATTAAAGCTATTTTTACGATGACTATTGTTTATAAGTATCGTAGCCCCGACTTGTGTTAATATAAACTTTACTACGACTAGCTGGCCGTAATAATCGTATCGTATTTAAGAGTTTTATTTAAAATTAATTAATAAAACTTTTTTAATAATTTTAAAAGGTTTAAGTTTTTTATAATTTAACTTATTATTTAATCGTTTCGGTTTAATATTATAATAAAAAAGATATATATTATTTCCTTTTTTTAAAATTATTTTATTAATTTTTAATTTATTAACGTATTTTTCTATATATTATTATATAAATTTAAAATTTAAAAAAGCTTTTTTTTTAAATTCTTTTAAATTTATTTACGTTTATTACGGCCTTTATAATTTATAATCCTTTATATACTTTTTTATATATAATTAATTAGAATCCGTAATTAAAATAAAAAAGAGATTTTTTATATTTTTATTAATTACGCTATTATATATAAATTAACTTATTAATAATAATAATATTTAATTATTTTAATCGTAATTTATATAATAAAAACATATTTTAAAAATTTAGTTAATTTTTTTCGTTTATTTATCGATTTATAAATAAAAAAAAATTAATAATTTATAATTTATATCGAATTATAAAATTAAAATTTTTTAAAATTTAATAATAAATAGCTTATTTTTATTAAAAATTATTTTTTTTAAATAAACTATAGTTAATAATAATTATTTTAAAAAAAATATATTAATTCTTTAATATTACTTACTTTTTTATATAATATAAAATAAATAAACTTAATAAATCGGTCGACGATAATTAAAATACTATTATATTATATATTTATTAATGATTTTTTAAATTTTAATAATTTAATAATAAAGTTTTAAAAAATTAAATACTATATTTTTAGCGGTATTAATAAAAGTTATAGTTTTTTATAAAGTTTAGAAAAACTATTTTTATTCTTTTATAAATATCGTAATTTTTAATAATTTTAATAACTTTTATTTTTATAACGGATTTATTATAATATTAATAAATCCGTTTTTATATTTTTATAATACTTTAATAATTATTTATTTAAATATTATAAATTCTTATAATAAGTTTAAAAATTATTTTTTTAAATAAGTTAATATTAAATTTTTTAATTATTATAAAAAGTTTTATAATAAATATAAAATTACCGTTATTATTATATTTAAAAATTATTTATATTTTTTTAAAAACCGTAATTTCGTAATTAAGTTATTTATTAAAAATATCCGTTTTATTATTTTTTAAACCTTTTTAATAAATAATTTAAAAATTAAATTTTAATAAGAATTTACTTTATCTAATTTATTATTTATTTAAATTTTTATTTATTATAAAATTCGTAAAACTTTTATAATTTATATAAATAATAACTTTATATTTAATATTTAAAAATTATAATTTCTTTTTTTTTAAAAATTTTAATTATAATTATCAATTTTTTATTATAAATTTATTAATTTAATTTTATTTTATAAAATATTTTAAAATAAAATATATAAAAATAAGATACTTTTTATTAATTTTATTATTTTAAAATAGCTTTTATAACAAAATCCGAGGCGTTAATCTCGATTTTAAATAAATTTTTTAAATTTAAAATCGTAATTATTAATTTTAAAATAATTAGGTTTTTAATTTTATTAAAAACTTATTTATATTTTTTATTTTAAATAAAAGTTATATTTTTTTTATTAAGTTATTAAAAGGTTTAATAATATTAATATAATTTTTAAAAAATCGTTAATAAAAGTTAATGAATTTAAAAAATAATTATATATTCTTAATATTAATAAATATAAACTAATTCTTAATTATTATTATTTTAAATATTTATATATAAATTTATTTTAATATAATTATATAACTAAAGAAATCTATTTTTTATATATAAAATTTGTATTTATTAAACTTAGTAAAGAGTTTTATATTTTAAAGTTTGTAAAATATTATATAATCGTATTTTTTATACGTTTTAAAATTAAAAAAGAATAAAAATATTATTAAAATAAACGATTATAAAAATATTAACGTACTTTTTAAATACGTAATTAACTATTATTTAAAATATAACGGGTGCGTTAATAAGTTTAAAAAATATAATTAAGTATTTATAAAATCTTTTATAAATTTAAAATATCGTTTTTTATTTATCTCTTTTTTTAATTTTAATTTAATTAAATATTCTTTTAAGGTTTATTATAATAAATTATTAAACTCTATATAATATTTCCTTAAGTTTTATAATAAAAAGCAATAAATAATAATTCTTCTTAATAATTTCGTTAAAGTTTTTATAATTAATTATAAATTTAAGCTTTTTTTTACTTTTTTTTAAATATAAAAAAGATTAGTATTTTTATTAAAAGAAATAATAGTTTAATATAACCCCTTTTAAGTTTATTATTAATATATTTATTTAATTCGTTACGTTTAAATTAATTTATAAAGTATAATAAATAAAACTTAGGTTATATTCTTTTTTTAATTCGATTATTATATTTTAATTACTATATTTTAATAATCCTATTTTTTTTAAAGCGAATAGTTTTATATAAATCTAGTACTTTTTAAATATAATTTAAAATAAGTCCGATTTTTAATCGTTTATACCGAGTATAAATATTTTAATAAGTTTTATTATTTTAATAAAAACGATATATTTAATTTATTTTCGTTTATTAAATATTACGTAAGATTCGTTTAAACCTTTTTTTTAAATCGTTTAATAATTAAATTTATTTATTAAAATTAGCCGGTTTTTTAATTTATTTATAAATTATATTTTTATAATTATAAGATTTTTAAAATTACGTCGGTACTTTTAATCTTTATAATATCGTATTTTAGTTATTTTAATTAATTATTAATATACATTATAAAGTATATAGTCTCTTAGTTAATATATCCGTTATTATAATTAAATTCTTTTTTATTATTCGTAAGGTATATAAGTTCGTTTTTTATATTTATAATAAGCTATATTTATTTACTATTTTTAATAAAATAAAAGTTCCTTAAACGCCGCTATTAATAATAACGCTTATATCGTATCTATTTATTTAAAATTTAATTTATAAATATTCTCTATTAAAGAATATTATAAAATATAAAAAATTATTTATTTTAGCCGTTTTTCGTTATTTCTTTATAATTAGCGTACTTAGTTTTTTAATATCTCGAGGGTTAATACTCGTTTTTCTTTTATAAGCCGTTAGTAATTAGTTATTAAATTAAAACGCTTTTATTTTTAATAAGTAAATATAATATATTAATATTATCGCGAATATCGTTTATTCTTTTATTAATAAGTTCTCTCCTTTTAAGAAATAATTTATAATCTTTAAGTATTTTAATATTAAATTATATATTTAGAATATATTAGTTATATAAGTAGTTTTTTAAATCCTTAATAAGCTAATTTAGCTTTTTTTAAAAGCTTATAAGTTTTTATTATTTTAATTATTTATTTAAATCGGTTTCTTTTTTAATAATAAAATCGTTAATATTAAGTAATATTTTATAATCGATTTTTAATTAAATACGTCGTCGAGCAACGTCACGGGTTTTATTTAAATTATAAAATAATTATTAGCTTATTAGCTATTTATAATTTAATATATTAATATTATTTAAGAGGGGGTCGTAATTTAGTCCTTTAATATTAAATTCTATAAATATATCGTCAGTAATTCTTTTATTTAAATTATTTAGTTTAATACTTTTTTTAAATATAAAAAAGTTTTATTTCAAACGAAATATATTATCTTTTATTATTATTTTAAATTATTTATTTATTTATTATTATAAAATAATAAGGACTATTTTTATAATTAAATATTAAAAAATATAGGCGTTTATTATATAATAAGCCTCGCTTAGTTCTTTAATACGTTATTAATAACGTTTTTTTAACATTTAAAATTTATAAATTAAATTTATTTCTTTATCGATCTTATCCTTTAACTAAAAAAGATCTTTTTTTATCTTAACTTTTAGTCGTTTTTAAAATTATTATTAAAATAAAGCGAGTATTACTTTTACATCTAATCGTTTTTTCCTTAATAATCGGCCTGCTTTATAATAACTAATTAAAATATAAATATAATCTTTATTATAATCTTTTATTATTAAAAAGCGTTATCTATAATATTAAATTATTTTATTAAGTATTCGTCGTATTATATAAATAGATTTACTTAAAATCCGTATTTTATAAGCTAAAATCTCGGTTTTTAATTAAATTAAGTCGTCTTTAATTTTAATTATTATCTTTTTTTCTAATTTATTTTTTATTATTATAAAGGTTCGCGCTCGATTAAAAAAACTAATAGGTTATATTCTAGCTACTTTATATACTATTAATAATATTTAAATATATTCCTTATTATAATTTTATAGCTAGCTAAGAGTATAGAAACGTAATTTTTATAATTTAAAATACTTATCCTTTTAAAAAGATTTTTTATAAACTAATTAAATAAATATACTATTTAAAAGCATTTAAAAAGTAAGCTAATAAGCACACTTAAACAGGTATTACCTTAGCTATATATAGCTATATATTAAACTTTTTATAATATACCTTTTTAATTATAAAGCTATTCGTAATTAAATCGCGTATATAAATCCTTTTTTTATTATTTTTAAATAAATATAAAAATAGTTAATAAAAAAATAGGTTTAATAAAAAGAACTTATTAAAAATAATAATCCTATACTATTTTATAAATAATAGCGTTATAATATATTTATATAAACGCGTTATTATTATTATTATATATATTTATTAATAAATAAATTATTATAAGGTCGGTCGTTAAGTTATTATTTAAATAAGCTAATAAATAATAGAAATTTCTTTTTTTATTATTTACCTTTTTATTAAATCTTTTTTTTTTAATTTTTTTATAAATCGTTTTTATAAATCTTTTAAATTAAATTTTAGCTTTATATAACCCTTTTTTAATACTAATAAATTATAATATAATAATTAAATATATATATATAATAGCTAATATTACCCTTATTAAAAAGGGCGCTGCTGAGCGTGCTAAGGCCGCCTACGCCGCTAAAGCTAAAAAAGCCGCTATTTACGTCGCCGCTACTATTAAATACACTATTAACGCCGCCGCTATTAAAAAGCGCACCGCTAAGGCCGCTATTAAAGCCGCTATTAACAAAAAGGTTAACGAGTTTATTAATAAAAACCTTAAGGACCTTAAAAAAAAAATAAAAAAAAAAAAAGAGTTAAAAGATTTTAATAATCTTTTTATTACCGACTCCGAGAGCGAAAAGTTTTTATATTAATAATTTAAAAAATAAAAAGCTAAAAAGGTAATTAATAAAGCCGTTTTTAAATATTATTAAAACCGCCGCTATTAAATGTAATAAATTTTTCTTTTTTTTAAACTTTTTAAAACGTTATTTTTAATATTAAAATAATTTATAAATAAAAAAAATATTAATATTTATATTGTTTTTATTAAAACGGTTAAATTTTATTTAAATTTAAAATTAATATAGTTTTATTTACGGTTATATTTAAAAATAAAATTAAAAATAAAACTATTATAATAAAAAAAATATAAAAAAAAAGCTTAATATTTTAAATTTTATTTTTTATATTTTTTATTTTATTTTAATAAAGTTTAATAAAAGTATCGGAATATATTATATATATTCTATTATTATAAAAAAGGCCTTTTATATTGAAAATAAATATATTAAATATTTTTAAAACGATCGTATTTATATTATTATTTTATTTAATATTTATTTATTTATAATTTATTTAATAAGCTTTTTAATTAATAACCCGTTTATTAATTTTTATATAAAGTTTTAAAAATCCATTTTATAAACTTTTAATTAATAATTTTAAACTTTTATTTACGCCCGCTCCGTTATTTATATAACTAAAAGCCTTAAGTTTTTTTTTATTTTTAAAAAAGTTAAAAAAAAAGTTAAGTTTATTATTATAAATAGTTTTTTTTAATAAAATAATAATAATAACGCTTTTATATACCTTATTCGTTTTATTATTAAAAGCTATTATATTTTTAATAATATTAAAAAAAAGACTTTTTATTTACGCTATTATTAATAATAATAATTAAATACGCTTTCCGAGGCTATTATTTTCGTTTTTATTATTTTTATTTTTTAATATAATTTTATAAAATAATCAAATTTTATTTAATATAATTTTATAAAGTAAATTATTTTTTAATAAGCGTTTTTTAAAATTCGGGTTATAATTAAATTATTAATTTTTTATATTTATATTTCTTTTATAATTATTTTTTATACGTTTATTAAATTTAAATAAGTTTTAAAATTTAAAAAAATTTTTAATTAGGTTTTTTATAAAACCGTTTATTAATATATTTTTTACAATTATATATTTAATTTTTAAATACTTCATAACGTATTTTTAATAAAACTATATATTTTAAATATTTATATAGCGTAAGTATATAAAAACCTCTTTTATATCCGTTATTATTAATTTAATTATTTATTTATTATTATAATAAATTATATAAAAAGTTTTTAAATTAAATATAAGGTTATAAAAAGGTTTTCGTAACGTTATTATTTTTTTGATAATCTTTTATAAATAAAGGAGTTTTGTTTTAATTATAAAAGTCGTTATTATTAATTATTTAAACGCTTTTTATTAAATTAAGTTATTAAAAAATATTATAATATATTTTTATAACGACCTTTTTATAACTTTATTATTTATAAAAAAGGTATCATTAATTATAAATAAGGATAAGTTATAATTAAATTTTTAACTTATTTTACTTTTTTATATATTATAATAAATCGTTAAATAGCGTATTTTATATAAATATTTAATAATTTAATTTATTATCTAAAAATATTTAAAATTTAGGTTTTTAAAATATTAAAATAATATTAAAACCGTTTATATATAATCCGGACGTATTAATATTAAGGTAAAAAAACCGATTTTTTTTAATATATTTTTATTTATATAAATATAAATTAGTTTTTATATATTTTTAAATTACTTATAAATAATAACTTAATTAAATAAATATTATTTAAAAAGTCGAATATTTTAGTTATATATTTTATATATATATTATATATAAAATAAAGTTTTTTATTTTTTTTATTTTATATAATTCGAACTCTTAAATAATATTTTATAAATCTTTTATTTTATAATTCGTATATTATTTTTATAATACTAACGATAATAGCCGCGTATTATTTATAATTTTTATAAAAAAATATAAAAATATCGTTTATATAAAAAATAATAATAATTTTATAATTCGGATTTTAATATATATAAAGATTTTTAGTTATTAAAAGTAGGCTTAAGTTTTTAAATATATTTAAAAACGTTTTATATTATAAATAAGGCGCGTTACGAAGTCTATATAAAGCTTTTTTAAATTAAACGTATTTATTATTAATTTTAAACTTATTTAAAAATTTATAAATAATTAGTTTATTATATTTATTAATTTCCGCGTTTAGAAAGGCGTTTATAATATTATATTAAAATAATTTTAAATTAAACTATGTTATTAAGGTTATTATTAATTTAAACGTTTTAGCCGTAAGCGTTATTATATATATATTATAAATTATAACTAACGTATATATATAGCGAGTCGCTTATTATAGCGAGTCGCTTACTTCTAAATACCCTTTTACTATTTATATAAGTTAATTAAGTTATATTATATAAAATTAATTAAAACTATTTATTAACTTCTTTTTTAAAAATTTCTTAAACTATTTAATATATTTATATATTATATCTAGTTTTTCTATAGTTATCGTATTACCGCCCGCGCGATTCAACCCTTTTTATATAAATATTTTTTTAATATATATTTTCGTTTTTAATATTAATAACCCTTTTTTTTATTTAGATTACCTCGGCCTTAATAGTATTAAATAAGCTTTTAAAATATAGTTATATGTTTTTAGCCCTCCGGCGTTTATTTAATATTTTATTTACTATATAAAGCCCGTAGTATTTAATTTTAATAAAAGCTAATTTATATATTAATTTATTAATACTTTTAACTTATAAATTAATAGTTTTATATAAATATATTAATAAATTATATTAATAATTATAAATCCGTTTTTTAAATAAAATAAAGCTTTATACGGCGTTATATATTATAATTAATATTTTTAAGTCCTAAAAGCCCTAGCTATTTAAATATAAATTAAATAATATTAACGTTTTTAGCTTAAAATCTAGGCGGGAAATAATTATTTTTAAATTAAAAAATATAATTTTAGCTTATTTAAAACTAATTCGTACGTTTTTTTTATTTATTAAAATAAAAAAGGCTATTTTAAAAATAAGAAAAAAGTCGTTTTTAATAATATACATAATTTATATTTATATTATTTTTTTAATTTTTTTATTATATAAAACTTTTAATAAGCTAAAATAATTAATATTAAAAAACTAAAGCTCGTATAATAAATAGGGAGGTATATAAAAAGCGATAATACTACGCTCTTTATAATAATTATCGAATTTAGTTAATTTATAATTATTATAACTATGAAAAATTAAAAGCCGCTTAATACTTTTTATATAATATTTTATATATTTTTTAAAATACTTTAGTTAATTTAGGCCGATTTTATTTATAATTTATTTATTTTTATTAAAGTAGATACGTTATTCGGGAGGGAATTAATTATTAATATATTATAAAAAAAGGTAATATTTACTTTTTATAATAATATACGGAGACAGCGCTTAGCTATTTATATATATATTTTAAATAATAAAAACCTATTTTTAATTACTAAGCTATTTTATATAAAGCTTTTTATAATAATTAAAAATTATAATAACCTTTATATACGAAAATATTCTTATTAAAAAGCCCGTTTTATTAAAATTATAAATATTATAATTATATATTCCGTATTTTATAATCGTATTTTATACGAAGGTAAATTAAGTTTAGATAATTATAAAATCTTTAATTAATACTTTTTAATAATCGATTTTATATTAAAAACGCGTTTTTAATTATAATTAATATTATATAAAATTCTTTATTTATCGCGGTTTAATATACGTCGCGTCGTATTTATTAAAAAAATAATCGGTTATATTTTATATATTATTAAATCATAATAAAAACTTTTAATTAATTAAGTAAATAACTTATTCGAAAATCACGGTTTTTTTTAAAAAGATTATTTTTTTTAAATTCATATAAATTTTATATTAAAATAATAAGCTAGCGTATCGGTCGTAAAGTATTATTTTTAAAATATTATAAATAAAAGCTATTTTTTGTATAGATAAATTTAAATTGTTTTTAATAATTTAAAATATAAAGATAATACGACGCTTATTTAAAAAAGAATTTATAATTATATATAAAAAAAAATAATTATTAAGATAAAAAGTATAAAAAGAAAAGAAAGTAGGCGACTCGCTATGATAAGCGACTCGCTATGTATATACGTTAGTTATAAGTTATTATAAATATAAATCCGCGCTTTATAATATTTAAGTTTATTATATTAATTAAGTTTATATATAAATATTTATTTTAATAAAAATAGCTTCGTATACACTTTTAAATACTTAATAACTATTTAGGTTTTTTTTTTTTAACTTTTTTAGTTTTTTATAAACTATTTTAATAAAAAGCTTTTATTAATAGTTTAGAAATTTAAAAAATTCTTTTTAACTTTTTAAAACTTTTAAAAAATTATTAATATAAATTATTTTTTAATTAATAATTATATTATATTTAATTTAATTATTTTATATTATAGTTTATAATATTTTATAAAGTATACGGTACGTAGGATTATAATTATAATATCGTATTTTTTAATTAAAAAGGTAAGTTTATAAAAAATCTTAATTTAAGCTATTTAAAAATCCGTTTTTTATACTTTTTAATTATTTAATAAAGTTATATATAAATATAAAATTTATTATTATTTTTTAAATCCGTACGCTTTTATATATAAACGGCTTATATACTTTTATTATCTTTTTTTATTTTATTTTTTAATATAGTCTATTAAAATAACGTTAATAATTATATTTTTAATCCGCTCGGCCTTTTTTATAATATTAAGTTTAAATATTCGGTTTTATTATTATTATTAAATATTATTTTTAAATTATTAATTATTTATATACTTTATAATATAGTTCCTAAACTTTTAAATTCCGTAACAATTGGTTTTTTATTTATAATTATTAATATACTTTCGGTATTAAAAATTTATTTAAAAGTTATTAAATTTCTTTTTTTAAATATTATTTTAAATATTTTAACGTTTTTTAATATAAAAATTACGATTTAAATTAATTAAATAGGTATTTTAAATTTAATAATTTTTTAAATAAGCTTATTTTTATTTATTTTTAAAACGCTTAAGAGTTTAAAAACCGTACTTATAATATTTATAAATTTTTAAATATTTTTAATAATTAAGCTAATTATAACTATAAATAATATTTTTATAATATTCTTTTTTAAATAAAAAGTAGTTTTATCGAAATATATATTACGTATAATTAATATTTATTTAAATATAAAAACTTAGATTTTATATAAGTTATAAATATTTACTATATATTTAATAAAATATTTAATATACCTTTATAGAAATATTTTATAATATTTTTTTTTAATTTCTTTTTTATAATTCTTTTAAAAATAAGTAAGTTTTATAATTATAAATATAAAGGCTTTTTTAATATAAGTATAAGTTTTAAATTATTTTATAAATAAAACTAAGCGTTTATTATTTAAAATACTATTTAAATTATCTTTTTTTTATTTAATTAAATAGTTTTTAAATTATATTTTAATATAATAAGATATTATAAAAGAATATTTTTATTAATATATATTTATTTTATAAGCTTTTTAAAAGTTTAGTTATTAATTTTATTTTAATATTTTTAATAATTGCTTTTTTTTATATATTTATATTTTTTTATTAGTTTTTTTATATATATAAAAAAGAGTTTAAAATCGATCTTTTTATTTTTTATTTATATTTAAAACGGGGTTTTTTAATATATAGCGATTATTTCTTTTTTATTATTTATATAAATCTTATAAAATATTAAGCTTTTTTAATAACGTATTTAAAATTTAAAAACTTTTACGATTTCGAAAATTAATTTTATTTATTTATTTTTTAAAAAGAATTTAAAAAGCTTTATAAAATATTTATTTTTAATTATAAATAGTTAAAAATAGTTTTTAAAAAGTTTTAAAGAATTAAAAAAGTTTTAAAATATATAATAATATAATTTTAAAATTTAATTTTTTAAAAAGGATTTAAAAAGATTTTTTTATATATATATAAAAGCATAATATTCGTATTTTATTTTGAATAATTCTTTTATATTTATTTTTTAAATGTTATAAATTAAATTTTAAAAAGCTTTTAGTTTTATATAGTTAATTTAAAAATATTAAATTATTATATTATTTATTTTATTTATATAAACTATATTAAAATCGGGTTTATAATATAATAAAGTGTTAAATTAAACCGTTATTATAAAATATAAAAAGCTTATTAATATTAAAAAGCGGGCTATAATATAATAAATAATAAGCTTATATTAAAAAAAAAAGTTTTTAAATAATTAAATTATTATTATATTTTTATTTATATTTTTAAAATATAAAATCGTATTAAAACTATAATATTAAATTTTAGTTTCTAATAAACGTATTTTAAAAACGATATTAATATAAAAGTTTTTTATAATAACGACGTTTTTTAAAATAAAGTTTTTAATATTAAAGCTTTTTTTATTATAAAAAGCTTTTTTAAAATTTTTAATTTTAATTTTTATAATATAAATATAGATAATATTCGTTTTTATAAATTTATTTTTTAAATAAAATTTATAAAAACCTTTTTTTAATAAAGCCTTATTATTAATTAAATAATATTTTTTATAATTATTATAAATTATATTATTTAATAAAGTATAGCGTTTTTTAAAAAATATTTAGAATATTAAAAAGCTTATAAAACCGCTTTTTTATAATTTTTTATTATTATTAAAAATAATAATTATTACGACGTTTTTAAAATAATTTTTTAAATAAGTTTTATTATTATTTTAGGTTTTTTAATATACGTTTTTAATATTATTAATTAATTACTTTTTTTTTAATATTTAATTTAAATATAATTAAAAATTAATAACATTATTTAATTTTTTATTTTAACCACTTTTCTATTTATAAATTCTTTTATATATTTAAATACTTTTATAGAAATTTTCTAAACTTTTTTATAATTTTATAAAAATTAATAATAATTCTTTTTATATAAATAAATTTTAAATATTATTTTTTAATTATTAAATTTATTTAAACGTTTTTTAAAAATAATAAAAAAGCTAAAGCTTTTATTATCGTTTTTTAAAAATTAAATTTTTTAATAAAAGATTTTAAAAATTCGTTTACATTTTTTTAAAATTAAAATAAAACGTTTAAGATTTTTATTTATAATAAGTTTATTAAATATTTATATTATTTAAGTCGGTATAAAATGGGTTTTAATAATTTTAAAAAAGCTTTTTATTATTAAAACTTTTTAAATTTTAAATATATTATAAACCTAAAATTATTTATATATTTTATATTAATTAAAATATTAAATAATTAAAAAAACGTTATTTTAAAAAGTTTTAAAAAATACGTTATTATATTTTTTATAAATTATTAAAAAGGTTATAAATTTAAAAAGTATTAAATTACGTTTTAATATATTTATAAACTTTTAAAAATTAATTTTATTTTTATATAAGAGTTTTATTTAAATATTTATAAGTTTTTATAACTTAATTATTTAAAAAATAAAAGATTTAATTATTCAATAATTCGTTATAATTATTTTTTATATTTAATTTTAATTAATATAATTTTTAATAAGTTATTTATATTTATTTTTAATATTATTAAATTCAATAAAACGTAGTTTTATAAGCTTATTAATTAAAAGAATTTAAATTTAATCGATTTTATTATTATTAAGCGTTTAAATTTTATTCTTATTATTACCGTTTTTTTAAATAATTAACTATTTATAATAATTATTTTTTAATTCGATAGTACGCTTAGCGATTAATTTAATAAAGTTTAGTTTTTTTAATAATTATATATTATTATTATTAATATTCTTTATATTTAAATCGATAAGATCTTAAATAAACGTATTTTTTATATATATTTAAAAGTTAATATATTAAATTAATTAAGCTGTTTTCGTATTAAAGCGTTAATTATTATTAAATATAAAAAGTTAAGCGGTTATTAATATTATTAATAAGCGCTTTACGTTTTTATAAATTTTAAAATAATAAAAATATTTATTTGTTTTTATATTTTAAAAAAGGGGTTTATAAAAATTAAGTTTATAATTATAATTAATTAAGAGTATAAAAATATAGTTTTTATAATTTAAAATATTTATTTTTTTTAAAAAGATTTTTTATAAACCGATTAAATAAATATATCGTTTAAGGGCGTTTAAGAAGTAAGTTAAGAGGCGTTTTTAAGCGGGTACTACCTTAGCTATATATAGCTATGCGCTGGACCTCTTGCGATAAGTTTTTAATAATCTTAAAGTATTAAATTACTTTTTACTTATTTATTATAATAAAGGTTTTACTAAAGGGTTTTTTAAAATATTATTTTAATTATTTTTTATTATTTTAATAAATAAAGTAATTATCGTTATAATATATAGTTTAAAAAAGTAATTTATAAAGTATTTCTTTAAAAATAATATTAATTTGTTTTTTAAAAATAGGTCGTTATTAAATTCGTTTAGGCTATTTATAGTTTTTAATTATATATCTTAACTTAT